AAAAAGTAGATGAAATAAAGCTCCACTACCTCACCCAAAACTTCAGGAACTTTGCCAGACCAAGCTGAATCTTAGGTTCAGATACTGAGAGGGAAAAGGGGTCAGATTCCCAATATTCTACTATGAACCAAGTGGGAAGAGAGAAAAAATATGGCAAAGAATACAGGGGTGGGAGTAGTGGAACTGTACCTCAGCTTTCTTCAAATGGGGACCAGCACCAGTCGGATACAGAGGGAAGAATATGCAAATAACACCCCAGCTGACAGTAGGTAAGGAATTAGGAGTAATTAGGTGTATTTTTGTGCCACAAATACGGCCTTGGAGAGATATGAATATGCTAAATTGGGCCTAACAGGGCAGAGTTGTGCTGATATTGTTTTACTGCTTCTAATACCCAAAGTGATCCTTTATCATGATGATGCTACACCCAGGGACCAAGACAATCTGACCACATCCAGGCCAGGTATCCTGACATGGCACAGTGTCAACACAAATTCAGCCAAGGTCTCAAAAACCATTTCTAAAGCATGATACAATCCTTGTTTTCATAAGGTCAAATCAGTTTTTTTCTAATTGAGGGTATCTGGACACCTCTTCCCAAAAACCCTCTGAATCACCAAGCCCAAGGCAGGAATATTATAACTCAGCTGGCAATTTTCCATTCTCTGTTTCTTAAACCACAAGGCTCTTATCAAAACCACAGGCTCCTATCAGAGCAACCAGAAGAGCCCTCAGTCCTCAGGAAAAGGGGATACATCAGACCCAAGAGCAGCTTTTTAAGTGATTGTTAGAATTACACATAGTTCCTGGATGCAAAAGGAGGAAGAAGGAAAGAAGAGGAAAAGCTTCATGATACTCAATATCAACATGATTTAACTTGCAAGAGTGTCTAACTGTCATCTCTCCAAATCACAGCTGAAAAATTAAAAACATGATGAAAAAAATATGATATAAACATCATATACATATAAACATCACATACAGCAAACACATCAGTGTGCCTACAATAAAACAGCTAATGATGGCCACTTATGAAAAATGTAGAGTGAACACACTAAAAAAGCACTAAACTTGTGAAATAAAACCTGCACACGTATTTGTAACGTGATGAAATCAAATCAGAAGCTCCATATAGAAGCAAACACTCACTTCCACCTGCACAGCACCTACTGAGCCTTGAATAACAGTCACAGCCTATGTCTGAGTGCTTCCTTCACCAAGGATTTCAGAAAGGTTAAACATTAACTAAACTTCCAAACCAGCAAACAAGAGGTCACTCCATCCATGACTGAAACGCAGTCACATCAAAAAAAAAAAAACCAACAAAAAACAAAAAGGAACATAGATCTTGATAATCAGCATCAAGTTGTGCTGCAAAGAAAATCCAGAAAGTAAATACTTAAGAACAGTAGACTGAACTAAAATTTACCTAAGATTCCCAAAAAATAGGGCAGAACAGAGCTGAAGATTTCCAGTGGTGTCCAACTGACCAGCTGGGCACTCCTTCAATACTGGAGGGACATTTTTCCAAGCCAACAGGAGAACAAGCCTTAATAACCTGACCCATTTCAGCCCTTTCCCTGCTCTGGGAGTAGCTCTATTCCCAACTGATTGGAAGTAAGGATGCAGCTGAATCTCATGAGCTCCTGCAAACCTGCCCAGAGCCAATGGATTGCCAGAACAAGGTGCAGCTACAGATGTTCAGGGTTCAGCTGCAGAGCTGCAAATGAGCAAGGCTGAATTTTTTCAATTATCCTAATGACAAACATGCAGGATTTAAGCACAGGTGGTGCTGGTCACCAGCAAAGCTCATGTGTTTGTAGTAGGCACCCTGATATGGACCAAAACATTTTAAATCAAACTCAGAGAGTTGTTGTTCAGACGAGGATGGAGCCACTGCAAACAATCCTCCCCACTCAGAAACATGGCAGAGTATCCCCCAGGCAGCAGCTTTGATTTTTAGCCTCCTAAATTTTAACAAGTACAGCTGGGCCAGCCTGACCTTCTGGAATCCAAGATTTATTATGCTTAAGGGAAATATAAAGAAATCTTGCTAGTTCATAAAGAAGCCCTGATGAAACACAAGACAAATAGGTGTTCAGGGTGAACCAACACACTCACAAAAAGATAAATCAAATCTCTCTGTACACATGAAACTTTTCCTCCTTTCTCACAGAACAGCAAACTTTGCTTATCTACAGGAAGCCATTATTCTGCTTCCTCTAAAAAAAAAGAAAAACAACTGGGAGCAACAATCATAGAACAACCTTTAAATCCACCATCTGTGTGCTTGTTTAGACTTCTAATCTCTATAGGAAATATAGCCATTAATAACTATTTGATAAAACAGCTCCTTTCAGCATTATGGCCCTAGACTACAAGTGTTAACTTAGATCTTCCAAGTTAAGTGTCTGTAACTGAAAGGAGGAGGAGAAGAGGAGGAAGGGAAAGAGGATAGACCTTGGAGGGACATGGAGGATGAAAGCCAGAGAAGACCCAATGGAGAAAAGTAAGAATGGAAAAGTCTAGAAGTTTTCATTACATTGAAGCAATTACCAGAGTTTCTGTTTATCAAGTACAAACACTGATGATGAGTCCATCACAAACTCACACAAACTGAAGCATCCAGAAGTTATCAAATCAGAAATCTATTAAATATCAAATACTGAACAAAGCAAATACAGAAATCCTACCCCTGTGCTGTTGATACAGAGGATTCCTCTTTAGCTTCAGTGTTTTCTAGTTCTCCCAGTACCCACTCAGGCAAACAGCCTGAGCTATTGCTCACAGCTCCTGCTGTACTTAGTTCTTCAACATAAGTTGTCTGTAATGAGAATAAAAGCAAAACCAACAAAATATATTTGCACCAATACATTCTTCACATAGTTAAATTTCTATATAATAAATTTCTATACAATAATTTCTATAAATAGTGTAATTTCTTTGCAGGAATATCTGCAGTAAAAACATCCTTTTTCCAGTGAAGGCAGTGGCAGATGCCACACTCCCAACCCCTGGAAATTCATACAACAGGCAACAGTGTAAATGTTTTCCAGTACTTTACTTCCTTCAGTATGGGTAATTTTAGCATAAATCAGGACTGTTACCCCATTGAAGCTGATGCCAAGCATTGACACACTATATTCATGCCTCCAGAAAACAATAAGCTTAACAACATCTGTGTGAACAATCATCTTATCTTTCACAGATACACAGCCTCCTATAATCACCTCTAATTACTAAAGTCACCACCTTCTAGTACATTTTTCCTTTCACAAAACTGTTGATTAAAACAAAAAAGAAAGCCTCAATGGCTTTTTATTACATATTTTCAAAGAATCAGAAATTGTTTCTTCAGAACACTGATTTTTATAAGCCTTCTAATCTGAATTTTGAACAAGATAGAGGTTTCATAAGAGGTTTTGCCCATTAAAAGATTTTCCCAACATCATTTTTCACATTCGTGCCAAATCAAAGAGGCAAATGTATCTTGAGGGTATATCTTTGTTTGTCTCACACTCACCATGTAGGAAGGCAAACTTTTCAGCAATCCTTGTTCTGGTTTTTGTGCAAAAGGTCCCTCCAGGACTCCTTGTTTCAGCATGTGGAGCAAAAGTTTTGCATACAAGTTCCGATTCTTCCTTCCCTCTAATCCTACCCCTGCTCCTGAGGGTCTGCAGAGTTTTTTAATCCACAGTGCACATATTCTTCGTTCTGAAAACACAGATATACATCCTCATTCTACATTTTCAGAGCAAATCAAACACACTGAAGAAACCATCACTGGTCACTGGTTTCACGGGTGTTTCCCTTCTACCCAAAAGTTTAAAGCAAAACAAACAAACCCAAATGACCAAACCAAACAAAAACAGTTAAACAGATTATTTATAAGTCTTTAACAATAGTTGAAGTTTACATATTTCAGAAACATTTTCTATAAATTCATGTTTACATCACTTCCAGAAATGGCACGTTTGGGAATCAATCCCTAATAGGGACAGAAGACATAAATCACCAGGAATTCTGCAATCACTGCAAGAGCAGCCATTAACTACAACTTACAGCCTGCATGAGCATTAATACTTTAAATATATAATAAATATTCATTAATTAAAAAAAATAAAATCTGTATTTACACAAGTTTTGCTACCAGATGATGAAATTATTCATTTGGTTAAATGTTCGCACAGAAAGGTCTTACTTTGTAGGGTCTGTGCCTTTAATAATAACCAGTTGGTTGTAAAAAAAAAATAGATTTATAAAACATCATTTCTTAATTGATGTTCCTACTATCACACATTCCTAACCAAATTTTAACACCTTTATAACTAGAAAATATTTGTAATTTGTAAGGGCCATCTCAAAAACAATGCCTTTAAGAAGCTTTTCATTGCTACTGTATTACATTTTTACAAAAAAATGCTAATGTGGTTATGCAAAAAGCATATTCACATCGTAAAGATAAAACAGATAAACTCAAACAAGTACAGCAGGTACCTAAAAAACTGCAACTTTAGAAGCAGGAAAAACCCTGTGTCAAAACCATGCCATAGCAGACAATAAGTTTCTGGTTAAACTAAGTGAAAAAAGTACATAGATACAAAATTATAATTATCAGTCATCTAGAATTCTGTTATTAGCCTTTAAATGCACATTTTACCATATTTACCAGAACTATCCTGCAGCTTTAGAACATAAGGCTTCATAGCCACAATATAGCGATTCAATTCTGTATCCAGTTTCTCAGAGATTTCGTCTTCGCTGCTCATTTTGGAAGAACATTCACCACATTGGAGGAGAAAAGGTCAAAAATTCACTTTACATCAGCCTGTCTTCACCTCGGGGCCCCGCAAAGACATGCTTGGAAACTACACGGGAAACAAAACTAGATGTGTTATTGCGTACAAATAAACACGAAACTTAAGAGGGATTGTTTGCAAACAGCAGATAGGAGAACGTGTTTGTTTAGGTTTGAAATTGAACTTCCAACCACACGCTAAATGTATTCATTACACACAATTTGTACAGAGCACCTCGAGGCGTTTGTGCGGTACCGCGTTCCTAACCTGGCACTCCTTAGGATTAGAGTGGGGTTTTTTTAAGGTAGAGGGGAAAAAGAAGGCGAAACCAGCAGGAAAACTGGAAAGCAGAAGCAAGCAGAGGTATGGTTAAAAGCGGCAGAACCAAAAACGTTGTCAGGGCTGGTTTTTGAGGAAGCAGCGCTGCAAAGACAAGCGCCCATCCCCAAACTGTCACAGAACCACGGAGCTGGAAGGGACCCAAAAGGATCATCGCGTCTTAAGTGAATCACTCTTAAGTGAATAGATGGGGATTGACCCCACGAACTCGGTGTTATCAGCACCAGGTCTGACCAACCGAGGGTCATTTCCCAGCTGGAACTGGGGACCGTTTTTGTGCATTCCACCTGCAACCCGCACGTCCCTGTGCCCGCCGGAGCCGCTGACGGTCCCTCCCCTCCGCACAGACCCGTCCCCATCATCCCAATCATCCCCATCCCCTCCTTCCCTCCCTGCCCCGGACCGCCCTCGGGCACCTCCCCGGCCGCTGCCCCTTTACCTCGGGAGGGCAGAGCCGGGCCGGGACCCCCGAACGGGGGAGGCACAGCCGGGCTGAGCCGGCGGGTCCCGGCCCCGCTCGGGGCAGGCGCGGCCGGGCTGAGCCGGCGGCCGAACGTTCAAACCGGCCCCGCTCCCGGCGGCCCCGCGGGCCCCGCGCGTTTCCGTTTCCGCGGGTTACCGGCGACACGGCCCGGACAGCCCGGCCCGGAGCCACACCCGAGCACGGCCCGGAGGGAGTGGAGGGGCTGGAGGGAGTTGCTGGTGCCCAGAAACCTTCACGGGGAAAAACCGCTTGGGCTTAATTACAGTGCGTGGGAGCCGCGGGGGAGGCACGGCAGGGACGCGGTCGCTGCCTGAGCTCGTTACGCGATCGGGCGCTGGTCTGGACAGGAGCAAAGGGAACGGCTGGAGCTGTGTCAGAGAAGGGTCAGGTTGGATCTCAGGGAAAGGTGCTTCCCCCAGAGGGTGGTCGGGCGCTGAACAGGCTCCGCTGTGGGGCGGTGGTCACAGCACCGAGGCTGCCAGAGCTCCAGGAGGGTTTGGATGATCCTCTCAGGTGTGAGGATCACCTGAGGATCCACCTCTTGGGGATGGTGCTGTGCGGGGCCAGGAGATGGACTTCTGCGATCCTTGGGGGGGTCCCTTCCAGCTCAGGATGTTCTGTGATTCTGCAACATCTCTACCCCAAAACCCACGGGTTGCACTTCTTTTGTAGCCGTGCCAGAAAAAAAACAAAAAGAAAGATCCAAAAGAAGGAAGGAAGAATCCCAAAGAATCAGAGAAATCTCCCAGTCCTTTGAGCTCTTCAATCTCTTCTTCAGTCAATGATTGTGTGTATGTGCAATCCCAAATAAAACCTCTGGCTGATTCATTTATTTCTCTTTCCCCAACAATCTGTCACAGGCCTTACTGCCTGTGTAGGGCCTAAAGCGCTTTTATCTTGAACAAACAAACTCTTCAGCTCTCCTAAGCTTGATTCGCATGCACACACACATCAAACAAGAAATCCTTAAGTGTAGGGTTGAAAATTGGCTGTTTTCTTTGATTTCTCAGCTAATCTTCAGCAGAAGTGACTCCACGATGGGGCTCGTTGGGTGATGGCTCTGACAGCTACACCGGTGCCTGCTCAGGTTGCCTTAAACCCACATTTGCATGGAAGCACTGCAGAAATCACTGATGGAATATTTCATCTGTGGTCGAATCTCATGAGCATGTTACAAAGATGATTTATTACCTTTAAGTTCCGAATTTAAAATATTTGTCATTTAATATAACGTGGAAGATGGGACTGCTTTTCATCTGGTTTAAAACCACAGTAGATTCTTGCAGCACAGTGACACTACCAGGTGGCTGAACTTGCCAGACTTCTCACCTCTTGAATCATCACTTCAGATAACCAGATTTGTCAGGGGAATTTCGTAGTCAGTATAAAACCAATTTGTCCAAATCATAGGAGACAGAGGAGAGTTTTATTAGTTGCTAGAATATGAAAGGCTGAATGGGCTGAAGAATGTGACTCTCTCCAGGGGCAGCACATCAGCATATTACTCAGATAATCCAGGGAGAGGTTTGCATTTCTGTCCAGCTTTGCAAATCTGGTTTTCACCATCAAAAAGGGGTGGAATTTCTAAGCCACCCTTTTTGTATGTTGTTATTCATTGATTTTTTTCTGCATGTTGCCTTCAGATTTGAGTATGTCCCTGTCATGCTCGTCACAAAGTACTTTGAAAAACTGAATTTGCCGGAATATGGTGAAAAAGAACATGAGGCTGAGCAGAACCAATGGAATTGGAATCGCTGCTCCAAGAGAAATTTCCTGAAGGAATAGCTCCAGTTTCTGGGTCTGCTTACCAATGCAGAGCAGGGTGGCCAGAGAGGTTGAAGCCTACCTGCAGTGATTTGATAACTACATAACTTCTGTCCAAAAACATGAAAGAAAAATAAAAGATTGAAGAAATTACTGAGGTCTTGTCTCCAGCCAAAGCTTCAGCCTGGACATGAGGAGCACTGGTGTGCGCTGACCTTCCAGAGGAAATCACTGTTACAGAACACAGAGATATCCCAGCCAGGATACAGAATACTCCCAATTTGAATTGTAAAAATATGACCATTTAAGTAAAACACATTCAGCATTATTTTTTTTTTTCACCTCATTTTACCATGTCCTCTTATCTCTGTAACTGTCTCAGCAGGTTGCCACAAGTAACATGAACACAGCTTAAGGCATTCTTTCAAACACCTCAAAAAAAATAAAAAGGGGGGGGTGTGGAAGAAAAAGGCAGATTTCACTGCCTCCTGCCAGCCTCTGGAACACTTTGAGTTGCAAGACATTATTTTTCAGACCTTCTGAGCCAATCTTTCATGTCTGAAAAGTTGTGATTCACAAACACCTTACTACTTCAAAGAGTTAACAGGTCACAGATTTATTTTTTTTTTTCTCCCCCTTCTTGCTTCAGGAGAATAGATAATAAATTCAGCATGTGAACATTGGCTCCTAAGGGTGATGCTTTCAAGTGTTCCAGCACTGCATACCCAGCGAGGAAGCAGGGCCAGCTGACGAGCTCAGTCATTATCCTGCTGCATGGGAAAGTAGAAGTGGGAAAATTTGCTCAGAAAAAATCTCAGTTTTCCTGAGGCGACTGTTTTTGTGCAAAACACGAGTCATTTCGGGGCCAAACAGCATTTTGGTGGCAGTGAATGTTACACCAACCTCACGGGGTTTGCCGTGAAACACGAGTTAATATTAAACTGTGTTTGGTATCTCAGCGACCGTCCCGGACATCCCGATCCCAGAGAGGGACCCACACAACACTTCCAAACTCATTGGGTCCTGCCAGCTGGTTCATGGATGTGTTAGAAGAAATTATGGATATCTTGGCCTTGTCATTCAAGGATCCCACTTTAACATGTTGGGAACCAAAACACAGCTCACATTGTACCAAGGCTATACCCACTCCAGTTGCCAGCATGAATTCATCTGTCTCTACATTAGAGAATTAAATTGCTGATGAGTACAAAGTATTAAATACTTAATAATAGCTGCCTCCATCTCTCCTTAAAAGTAGGAAGCATAAGGACAAATTATATCAGTCATACTATTAAAATATTCATATGCAGCCTTCAAAAAAAAAAAAAGAAAAAAGGTAATTAGAGTATGTTCAGAGTTGTTTAATGGCAGCTGTAGCATCTTAAAAGTAGTTTGATCTTAATGTTAAATGGTCCTTTTAAAAGTTCTGCAGTAGCTTGCATGCTGTGTAACTTACTTATGCTTTTAATCAGAGAAAAGGCTTTTATACTGTAGAGGGAACCATGTATATGACTCATGACAATTCATTATATGCGCACAACAAGTATTTATCTATCACTTTCTAGTATGTTGAAATCATAATTACTTTTTTCTGAATGGAAGTACACACATAAGTACAAAACTTGTCAGATTGGATCACACCAGTGAGCTGCCTGTATCATAAATCAAATTAAAAGTACAATTTACTTCAAAGCTACTTAATGACCAGAGATCAGTGCTGTTGCTCAATGGTGTGCAGTTCTCTTAAAAAATAAAAAAATAAAAGATGAAGCAGTTACATTGTGTAATATTGAAACAGTGGTAAAAATTAACAGTTGTTTAAAACAACATTTTCAGGTGAAGTTAGAATCTCAAAAAACGAAATGGTCTTAGTAACTTTTGAGTTTCTTTTGAAATATTAAAAAAAAATGCTTTATGTGATGTTATTGACATTTAAGTTGTGGTTGGATATTTGGCTTCTAAAGTAATTTGGAAATCTCAGTCTTTCTACTTACATAAATTCTGGAAAATCCCAAGCTGATGACCCTCTGCCTATTCAGAAAGGTCCACTCCCTGTCACAGGGGAGTGTTAATGGAATCAGAACCCAGGTAATTACCAATGATTAAGGCCTTTCAGTGTAAATCAGTCCAGAGCTAAAGGATTTAATTGATGATAAGGTAATATTAAATAGGAACACACTAGTGGCTGAAAATCACTTTATTGTAAAGCGACTGCTATGGAGGAAGTCATTTACAGTTGCATAAATTTTGGAAATATCAAAGAGAAGCAGCATTGCAGGGATTTGGAAGAAGGCAGAGAAGAGAGAATGGAGGTTAATGGCTGAAATAATGTGTCATAACTTGTGGAAGAGGCTGGTGGGGATTGTGGGAGGGAAAAGGCTGAGACTGCATTCCCAGAGTCTGGAGTTCACCTGGAAGTTTGCACTTTTCCTCTCGTATGTGAAAGGCTCTGTCTCAGGAAGGCAGAAATTTAGTACTGTATTATTTCTCTCATTCATGCTTCATCTTCACATGGTTTCATGTCTGATGGGTCCTTCTTCACGAGAGTTGAAAAAAAGCCACGTTCTGTTGGAAACAAGAACTTGGGTTAAATTCTTGAAGCACGTCTGAAAACAACTCTTTGCATGGTAGTAAAACATCTTGAAGAAATACACTGATTTCATTTATGTTTCAGTGAAAGCTGAGCTACATACATCAGAAGCCAAGCTGAATGTGAGGGAAGATGTTTTCATGGGGTGTAGTCTGTGCTTTCCCTTCACTTTCAAATGAAAATAAAACTTACAAGGCAAATTCTGTGCAAGGAATGTTGAGAAAACAAATGCAAAACATCCCCTGTTCTAACAAACATTGGTGTTGGCTGTTTATTTCTTCTAAAAGCCTGGGTGCCTGTGAAGCAGTTCCTCCAGCATCAATTCCTCACCACAGCTTTATCAGCTGCTTTTTATCACTCTTGGTCCAAAGTGTGTTTCTGATCAGCATAAGGTGGGAATAATTCAGCAGAATAGGAGGGAAAAATCAGGTTCTCGAGGCTGCAGCAGTGCTCAGGCTCTTTACCCCTAGAGAAGGTGCTGATCCAAGTATTCCTGAAATCCCAGAATGCTTTTCTTTGGGCTAGACCACCTTTAAATAGCACTTTCTAGAACAGGACAGGAATTAAAGCAGGGCTTTGATGTATCCAAAACAAAACAAACTCTTGCTGTGCATCATTTCCTTCTCCAAAACACCCAAAACTCCAGTCCAAGGCAGAGGAATTATCCACTCAAAGAGGACTTGAGGATGAACTGTGACAGTGCCCTCCACACTAAAGCACTCGTAATTCCACACCAGAAGCTGGTTTGGGCTCAGCCTCGGTCCTACCTTTGAAACAGGCAGGGAGGGTGAAGTTGCCATCCACACACGCCACATCCACGGTGTAGGCACAGGATTTTTCCTTGTTCTTGCAGAAGAAGGACACAGTTTCCCCGTGCAGAATGCCCTCCTTGAGGTCATTCTGAACTCTCTTCTTCTCCCCATTGTATAACACCACAGCTTTCTTAACTGGTATCTTACATGGTGCTGTAAAAAAAAAAACAGTTATAAGGAAGATGTAAGGATTTGAAAAGGGGAGGAGTAGATCCCATCAGATTCCTGTACAAGAGCCATTTTGGAATGAAAAACAATGTGTCTCACATATATCTAGAGAACTTCTGCTGGTATTACAATGCTGAAGAAATGCAGACCCCGAAGCAAAGGGTCAAAAGTTTCCAGTGGAAATCCAGCCTCAGTAAAATTTCTAATGATATTAAATGGGAAGAGGAGAGGAAATAGTCAGACAAAAAAAAGTTATGTAGCTGATTATTGAATTCAATTCAGATACATCAATCATACATATAATCATACCATTCGTACCTACATTCATACAATGTTCAGTGTTGGGAGTGGTCTTAGATTATCAGGGCCTTGCAATTATGATTGTGGTTTCCTTTGGAAGGCAGCTCCTGCACAGAGCAGTGAGGAACAGGCAGAGTCTGACAGGAAAATTCAGTTTTCTGTGGTTTCTAACAGGAGGTGTGTGCATACCTCTACAAATTGGTTTTGTGGACCAGTTTCCAGTCTTTTCACACCGGGAATGCTTGGATCCCTCCATCACATAGGTGGGCTGGCAGCCAAAGCTGACACTCTCGTTGTAGTGGTACGTCCTGCGGACAGCAAACTCTATGAATCCATTTTCTATCCCTATTGGAGTGGGGCAGGTGACAACTGTGGGACAAAACCAAAACCAAAGCTTTATCCATGTCACAGGTCTAAAAAAACACATTATATACCTGAAAAATACATAAAACTCCCACAGTGGTTCATTTCAGCCCCTTGCACAGGAAAACACAGCTTAGAAAACCACTGCAAATAAACAAACGTTGCTTGTTTTAAATACACATCAATCTGTGGTTATAGCAAAAAACTGCTTAAACATGGCATAGTTTCACTGCAAGTTCTTAGGACTAAGGGTGAGGTTGATTGTTTCTTTGATGAATCCAAGCTTAGAATAAAATGTTGGCTGCATGCTGGAGGCCAGGCTCGGGTTCCCCACTGGGCACTCCATTTAGCAGGGTTTGTTTATATAACCTTTATACCTGCAGCAAATATTTTGGCAATGCCACGTCCTGTGAGCAACCCCCTCACATCCATGGGCCTGAATTGCAGAATAATTGTGCTGCATGTTTGCAATAACGGTTGTTAATAAACATAAAATATTAAGGTTGTTCATGTAGTTCTGCATAGAATATACAATTCTAGGGCATATTTTTCAGGTGTTCCTTACCCTTGCACTCTGGAATGCTGCTCCAGGTCCCGTTGGCCGTGCAGGTGGCTGTCTCATTCCCAAAAAGTGCCATAGGGGGGACACATTCGAAGGTGATCGTGTCCAGGAAATGAGAAAGGTTTCCAGGTTTTGAGCGACGGTAAGAAAGGACTCCAAATTCCGGGATGGGGGGAGGTGGACAAGTCACCGCTGGAAAAGCACGGCGTTCATGGAAATTAAAGGGAGAGATTAGAGAAAATCGGAGATCAAATTATTCCTGGAATCAGAGGAGCAACGTGTTTGTAACTAAATGAACCCACGCTGCCCTTCGTGGAATCAGAGCTGACGAAACAAATAGTTCAGATTAAAGGTCTCAGGAGTCCTAGAGCATGGAATTCATGATTTTTGCTGTATTTCTCAGACAATATTATTGCTCTTTCAGTAAAGTCTTTATGCAGGACGAGTTAGAGCAAAACTCTGTATAACAGTGCAAAGGCATGACAATATCCTCTTTTTATACGCAGGGAGGAGGAATTGGAGTGGATAAACATCTTACCTCCAGCTGTAAATAGCATCCCTGATCCTGGCCTTTTGTACAGACCTTTAAACTGTATTTCTCTAAAACCCACAGACCTAAAACCAAACATCCAGGGTTCTGC